CTCTCGCCAGCCACGCGCGCTTCAGAGTGTTTCCAGGTCGTCTGATCCTCCAACGATGCGCAACATCGGCGTGTTGAGGCCAATCGACTTTCAGTAGGCACACGTACTGCCCGATTCAGGTTCAGCCACGTGTCCAGCGATAGCTTCAGCCACGTGTCACAGAGATCCAGATTTAGCGACGTGTAGAAAACGATCCGGTCTTGGAGATGTACGGAGCAATATCGCCTCAGCGACGTATAGAGCGATGCAGCCTCAGCGGTTCGAGAAACGACCCAGCTTCAGCCACGTGTCAAACGATCCAACCTCGAAAGACACGTGGAACGAACGAGCACCGGCAAACTATTACCGTCTTCCCCCCAACAGAAAGCACTCTGAAAATGAATGTATGCATGGCTGCAAGCTATATCTCCGGTCATTTACAGCCAAAATGAGGGTGCGTTGTGTTCGGGGGAAGACGGCAGCTAACCTCGGCGCGAGAAAGCGATCCTCAAGCTTCGGGAAATCCTTTGCAGAGTCAGAGCAGGTGTTCTCCATGAAGTTAACGACGCACGCAAGCAACAGGCGGAGGCGAACGACAACGGAAAGAGGAGGAAGAGGAGGGGTGGGAAGAGGAGGCGGAGGAGTCGTGGAAAAAGAGGGGGGAGGAGTAGGAGGGAGAGAGGAGGAGGACGGCATTGCCCTCTGTTGCATGCTCGTGTGGATGACAGAGCCCCTTTCTATGGAACCCTCTCACACGCGCATCTGGGATTGCCCTTTGAGGAAAGGGGATATTGATGAGGGCAGCTGCGTTCGTGTTCGTAGTACCGCCCTTTTGTACCGCCCTCAACCTCACACCTCTACCCCTCTACCTTCCACCGCCATAGAACATGCACCTGTACCTCTGTCCCCCTCTCGTCGTATCTCTGTTCGGTTTGCGCTCGCACCCCTTTTCTTCGTTGCGCTCACGGTCTACCGGCTCCACGAGCTTCCGCCCACCCCGCTTTCTCTACCGCCCTCTCCACTCTACTGCCCTGCCGCTCTCCACTGCTACCCTTGGTACCGCTTTACCTCCCTCCACCTCCCTCCAGCTCCCCCACCCGCACAATTCGCTCCCGCCGAACTTCGCCGCACAAGCCGCACAGGGGCACTGGGGCGACGTCCCACTGGCGTGTGTTCTTCATCCTTGACCGCCGATGGAGGCGGGAATCTGCAGATCCAAGGCCAGAAATGCAGAGCACCATCTTGTGGGACTTGGCCCCTCGTTGCACTACCCGCCACGCCACCCCTCCAACCAGTCACCAATGTGAAAATGACCCTTTTTTTTTTTCTTATTTTTTTTTGACGTCATTTTTGCACCCTGGGGCTAGGTCCCACTTACACGAATTAAGCGATATTGACCGTAGATAGCAAAGATCAACGGCCAGAATCTCTTAATCCGCAAGTGGGACCAAGCCCCTGGCTGGCCAGGTAACGCCAAAAATG